CGCCAAGTATACGATATGTTATATTTCATTCATGTTAGCCGTGCGCCAGAGCGAATGGTGTATCTGTAGCATGGGATTAAGTTGACCGTACACAAAAGATTGGTGTACTGCGCAAGTATACGATATGTTATATTTCATGCATGTTAGCCGTGCGCCAGTGGGAATGGTGTATCCGTAGCTTGGGGTTAAGTTGACCGTACACAAAATATTAGTGTACTGCGCACGTATACGATTTGTTCTATTTCATGCGTGTTAGCCGTGCGCCAGAGGGAATGATGCATCTGTAGCATGGGGTTACGTTGACCGTATGCAAAAGATTAACTGCGCAAGTATATACTTCATGCATGTTAGCCGTGCGCCAGGAGGAATGGTCTATCTGTAGCATGGGGTTGAGTTGACCGTATGCAAATGATTAGTGTACTGCGCAAGTATACGATATGTTATGTACATACTATGCATGTAAGCCGTGCGCCAGAGGGAATGGTACATCTGTAACAGAGTATTTTGAGTAACATGCCGAGAGGTGTATTTGTTCAACACACAAAAGCTAGGCCTGTGAGAACGTACTGGGTCAATGACAACCCTAATGTATTTGTATAGAATAACCGCTTGATGGGCAAGTATGAGAGCTTCAGTATCTGTTGAGTCTTATTTTTTAGTGGTTGCTTTCTATCTATGTACGCTATTTGCTTCTTATGTATTTCATAACGTTTTGTGAGTACTCTTGATTACATATATACAAGTGAAATACATTTTCTTCAGTTGTGGTATGGTGTATTCGAGAATCAAAATGGGATGTACGAGATACCAAGCATATGTAACCGCCACAGACCTTCCATTAACATGTACACCGGATCCACGGTTGAAACCGTACTCGTCATCTTCTCTCTTGCCCGTGTTCTTCCCCTATATGAATGTAGACATTTGTGTGGGTGAGAGCAAGCAAAAGTTGACAATACCGTTTGGACACAGTTTTTAATATTACGTTGAAAATCACATATACAGAGACTACTCCGTCCACGACTACAAATACAGATACAATTAAAGCCTAATCCTAACCTATGAACCCTACAACTCCTGAGCAAACAAATTCGCACCTCATTGGGAGTCCTGGACATGTACGCGCAAAGATTGAAGCTGTACTTTATATCGGCTCTCTGTACTAGATAACCCCACGCCTCACGCTGAGACTCAAAGCCCACGAGTATATCCACATCCCATGCTTCTCCCACTAGCTTGACCATAGCGTGCAGCAATTGTAACTCAGACTCCACATATCGGATGTGCATGCCTGTATGAAAGGGCGCTTGCGTTATATTATAAGGAAATGATAAGAAATGATCGTGATTTTACCGTGATAAGGGAGTATGTCTTTTATCGTAGAAAGATATTGTTTATCTAACTATGGCGAGAAACAAATGCTTTCCAGGCTTTACATATCGACTATACATACCTGTAAGGACCATTTGTTCGTGTGATTTTGTGTGTATCCGGAGAGTGCGGCCATATATTCGTATGTCCGCATTCTCCGGATAACTGACATACATAGATACTGTATAAAATCAGTCCTCGTGTGTTCGTTTGTGGTTTTTGGAAGATGTGCGGTTTTAACGGAGTATAGAATTTTTAGCCTACTGTACGCGTAGGTGTTGCGTATACCTAGTGCAAACTTGTCCTTATATCAGGTAAACAAATCTGTATAAACCAGAACATCATTTGATTTTGTAGTACTGTGTTCGACAACGTAGCTCCGTTGGTCTAACATGAGACATTATAGAACACGGGAGAGAGACGCCGGAAATACCGTATAGCATCAAGTATCCCTACTCCTTGCCGCCAACATGGCGCTTGCACTGAACGATCTTACATCTCTATAACAGAGACATACCGGACCAGTCGATACTATTTTCACGTTACTGAGAGAATCCAGACCAGCCAATACGATTACTACAACTATGCGACACAACTCTGTGACACAAGATGTATTCTATGCGATGCTAGACCTATACGATAGAGGTCTACTCGACTGAGGAATATTATAACAAAAAAAACAAGCGATAATCCAAACCAGCGGTGTATGTAAATGTCTCACTATACCACTAACTCCCGTGTGGGCCAGCGGAAACTCCCCCAGATCCTCATCTCGAACCACCAC